TGGGCGAGGTTAAAGGAGCCGTCGCTTCCTAATAAATATCAGAACACAGACACAAGCATTGCCTGAAAATGTGTCTTTCTGCAGTCCTGTGTGGGAAATAACGACAGTGTGTATTTGTGTGCTGCTTCCTGTTTACTGTGTGAACGTCCATCTTTCCTCTAACAAACCCTCTCCCTCCCTCTGTGCAAAGGTTAGTCTCTCGACCGATTTTACAGGCAGCAGTGCCAATAAAAGCTGCTCGTCTCACAGTAAAGCAGCTGTAATGAATGGAGAATGCTGCAGAAAATAAAGACCACAGGGGGGGGGAGGCGGGGGCTGGGATAGAGGTGCAGCTAGTTGGAATCAGAGCCAAGACTGAGGAGGGGTTTCTGTGTGTAGAAACAGATGGATTAAAAATAACTGAAAACTAAACAGAACAGTACATTTGTGAAAAGAAAAAAAAAAGATGTCCACTTGACCTGATGATGACCGAACCAGATGAAGTTAAAGGGGCCCTATGCTTTTTGTGTTATCAAGGTTTTTGTGCATGTAAATCAGGGGTTTCCAAACTACGGCCCGGGGGCCAAATGTGGTCCTCAGCAAATTCAAAAAGTATAATGTAATACCTAACAACCTTGAAATACACCCTTCATGTTTCCCCTTATTATCAGCAATCTGAGGCTCCTGTTTTAAGGGATGAGCTGCCAACACAATAAATGAAACCCTATGGAGAACTGTGATATTGGCTGTTTTTTTTCTTATGGCATTTTCAAGTATTAAGCATAATTTGCCTACATTTGATTGATTTTACCAACTTATGAGGCAATACTTTACCTTTAGTGGGGCCCCTTAGTATATTTTTCTGTATGTGGCCCTTTGTGAAAAAAGTTTGGACACCCCTGATGTTGTACTTTTTGGGTTTTTCCCTTTCCTATAGTGCAGTGGTTCTCAAACTTTTTCTGCCAGGCCCCCCCTTTGGAGAAAAAAAAAAGTCGGGCCCTCCCCAACAAAAATAGTCAGGCTCAGTGGCGGCGCCAGAGATTTCTTTTGGGGGTGCTGTGGGGTAGCTTGACGTTTCATAGAGGGTGCTCAAACATTTAGGGTTTCCCATTAATGTACCGGGCGCTACAGTGGAATTTTCTACTGCAACACTCCCCACGCAAATACACAGTGTGACTGTTGCAATGAAGGCTCGATAATCAGCTCACGGCATATAGGTGTAAGCAGGGGTAAAGTACTATTTTTATAGGTGGTGTGTGGACATCACATAGGGGGGTTCGGGGGCAAGCTCCCCCGGGAAGATTTATTTTTAAATATTGAAGTTAAAAGCATCAATCTGGTGCACTTTGAGAGCAAAATGAAAAGATCTATGGATACATCTCTCAACACCCATATGAAACAGAACTGTAAACAGATTTACTTTTTCTTTATGGATATTTTACAAATCACATACCTGTTTTTCATTTATTCTCTTATTTTTTTATAACTATAATGATCATGATTAATGATCAATGAGGATATAATGATCATGATCATGATCAAACATGTGCCTCGGAAATAATTGTTTACATTAATCGTGACCAAACCGTTTGAGACCCACTGAGATAACTTAGACTAAAGTTAAAGTGGAACAATATAGTATAGCCTACCTATACAAAACATGTCTGTGAAGTTTTTTTGCTTAAAATACCAAACAGTTCACCCATTGTAGCCATGCCTCATGCTGCTCATACCCCTCTTTTGCAGCCCTGTTATGCCCCTTTCACCAACGCGTCGCTTACGTCGAGGCGTGCAGGAAACTAAACCCACCTCCCCTGAACATGGGTCGACTGAAGAGTCTCGTCATGCCTGCCTACAAGCAATAGTGCTGAGCAAAGTGACTAGAAGGCAACCACACATTTATAAAAAGAAACACACTTTATAAAGTCAGGCAACACTAACCAGGCTTCGTGTGATTCTGTTTATTTGTACCTTACTTTGACCATCCGTTCACTGTTATTGATCATTGTGGAGAGCAGGCAGACGTTTTGTTTTGTTTTGTTTAATAGCAGCTATCGGATGNTTTTCTTTTCAAAATACCAAACAGATCACCCATTGTAGCCATGCCTCATACTGCTCAAACCCCTGTTTTGAAGCCCTGATATAGAAACGCAGATTTTGGGTCCTTAGCTTGAAAAAAATAAATAAGAGGAGGCGGAGCTAATGCCTGATCAGAATTCTACCGGAGATAAAGTTAAATTCTGCTGTGATAAAACGCCATCCTGTTTAAACCACGTCAAGGATTGTTTCTGAAATAGTATGGAGCTCAAATGCTTTTTCTCCTGCAGGTTTATCACAAGGTGAGTTCCTTTTTTTATTTCCTGCTGTGTGCTCTCCAGTACAGGTTAGCTCTGAGTGTTAGCGAGGCTTGCTAATGTAAACAAAGACGTCCAAAACACGTCAGGCATTGTTTCTGATAGCAACTTTCTGTGGGTCCGCCGACGTCAGTTCGGATGGAAATCTGTTTCCGCTCGTTCTACACCCGTTTTTAAAATTTGGGTACGGAGGAAAAGAGAGAGGGTTTTATTTTCTGACGCTGCGTGAGTTCCCCGACGCACCGGGGACACATATTTATGTATAAAAGACATCACAAAGTGCATTTAGCATGATAGGTCCCCTTTAAGTAAGTTTGATTCTGGATTCTACCTGTTGCTTTGGGTTATAAAGAGACACACTTCACTATAACGTGATTGTAAACTAAAGAACTGTTTGTACTTCAACATTTAAAGTTAGGGTCTGAATTGGTTCCACTTTTTAAATTGAATAAGACAAAGTGATCATTACATGCTGTCCTTACTTAGCAACTGTCACCTGCATTGTTCACATGGTCTGTTTCTTTTTACATCCCGTTAGAGAATTCTCACTCCCTCAAGGTACTAGGTCTGGTTTTTGAATTGATTACATCATCTTTGATATTATTCTGGAGGCATGCATTTTCGTTTGAACAGCGCTGGCGAAATTTGTTAAAATCTTTGTGTTGTTTCCAACCCTTTCATCTCAGTGTGAAGCTGCATGCTTTTCTGCCAACGATACAATGCGAATACCAATACCATGCAATATTCAAATAATGGCCTTAAAATCTAAGTGTGTTATATAAAAAGTTGAGAAAAAGGCAAGGTCTTCCAGCAAATCATAGCGTTTTTTTGCTAGTTTATTATTTTCAAGCGATATTTGACGAGACATTTTTTAGCACAAGTAATATTTCCATAACCTTGTTTAGTATGTTTTCATACAATAAACATAAGAGGGAACAGCATAAAGTACTTTTCAAAACAAGTCAAGGTAGCAAAGAACACTTTAAAGAGGTACTTGTGAAATAAACACATAACCCAGAACTTCTTGAACCTAACCGCACAATAGAAAAGGGTTAAGGTCTGGAGCACATGTCTGAATGTTGTGTAAAATCTCTTAGTGGACAAAAGATGTTAAAAAGTGTACCTTCTCCACAGCGAAGGTCCTGATGACATACTCTGACAGCAGCTCAGTCTCTATCAGCGTCACCTTGATGTCTCTGTAGATCTCAGTGTCATCGGGCCAGTACTTACAGCACTTCACCTGAGAGTGACAGAAGCAAGTGTTTCATACAGTAAGCACATGCACACAATACTGCTTACTAATTGCAATGCATTTAAACAAGCTTTTATTTCATATTAGAATGTCTGCACGCTATCATTTCCCCATAAAGGTGATTGTCACCCTGCATTTGCCACCTGATATGTCAGCGTCTGAGACATTTCTCTGAAGCCAAGATGAGATTTGCTTCGTATTAGTTTCAACCCCTGGTCAAAGACCTGCTGTAAATGGGAATCTTGCGTATCGACGGTGAGCTCATTCTCATTCTCACATTCTCACTTTTTCATTCCCACATCGATAATGTGAAAATGAGTGTAAAAGTAGACTGTGGAGAAGCTGGAAGAGAAGAGAATAGACACTGAGGGACGGGGTGAGATTTGTCCACCTTAAGTTTTTTTGACTACCAGTAGGGAGAAAAAGGACAAAACATTAAAAAGACGATGTTCTACAATTGGATGAGGGAGATATAATGACAATCCAATAACGAGATGAAATAATAAACTCTCAGCTGTTTAAAACAGATTTCCCAACAGAAATCTAAAACATCCCACTGGAAATATTACTCGTATTAGGGGTATCAACGGGTAAAAATTGTACACATCTCCCCCCCCCCCCGTTCAATTAAACTGTTGATACTGAAGGAGTAAGGCTGGTAATAGAGATGGAGATCATGGAGGTATATCAGAGAATGATAATTTTTGATGAGGGATAAATGTGACATCAGCCACAACTAGATTCAATTTTCATTTCTGGAGTCTACGAGCACTGATTAGGAATGAAATGAGATTCTGGTTTGTGGAGTGACACAGACAGACGGGGACTTTCAGGTCCTTCTCTCTGACACCCCGATGACTAATCCCCGATGACAATCACAAATCCACCGTCCGCTTCCAGCCAGATTGAATTAGGCAAAAGCCATTACCTTATTAAATCACTCTGAATCAGGCGCCTGGTTTTTTGGGGGGGAATCAGCCTTTGGGCTAAATTATGCCAGCATACACACAGATGTTCTTTTTTTTGTGGGTCCACTTATGTCTATTTTTTTCATGGCACTTGAACTCATTCTCTCACATTGGAAAAGAAGCACAAGGTAGCATCACCTCAACACACACACACAAACAACCTTACAAACCAAATCTCTCATACATCAAAGTACGCAGAGCGCCGCCCCTGTGTGTGAGCCAGCGGGGTACACAGGCTGCGTGTGCCAGGATTTCCCAGAGTTCATCAGCAACTGTGCCGAGCAGATGGCCCACTGTGATACGGCAGAGTGGTTTTATGAGGCCCCACCGAGGAGCCACCGTCACTGTGACCAACTGTGCCTACCGCCCGCCATTGGACAAGGATCATATAACAGACGGTTAGGGGGCCGGGGCCCTCGGAGGACGCTCCGCAGCTAAGCAGGTGTGGAGAAGGTGTGGGGCGGGCCGGGCTCGGCTACTGTAGAGGAACGGCCTAATGAGGTACCTAGAGATGGGCCCATGAATCATTATCAGCTCTGCTACCTTTAAGCCCCCACCAAATATGCACATCAGCGGAATCAAGGTGTGCCTGTGTTTAAAGGGGCTTTCAGAGTGAATGTGCTTAACATTCTTGGAGTAAAAACCCCCAGGCAGTCAAAGCATTACACTCTACGCTAAGACCTTCATTTTCTCTTGATTATAACCTAACCATGAGGAACTACAGTGCGACTTAAGTGGAACTAATTAGGACTGAAGTAGGGCTCTTTTTTTCTTTCTTTGAGGCAGACCTCATGCTATAGCGAACAAAAAAATGGAGTCAAGGTTCTACGATTAGTTCGAACACTATGAAGCATCTCTACCACTCACTAGCAGTCCTCTTTTGTCCAATGACGATAACATTAAGGGATATTTCTGGTAGGAGCTGCTGGCTACGACAGCGGAGTGTAATCTCCTGTTATAGAGCCACTCAGATGAAACAGTACTCAGTTGCCTGGATGCCTCTCTGGTAATGAAGGCCATCAATCAGTTTCTTCTCACTGATCAGATGGATGGAAAAAGAGCTGGCGGCATGCGAGACCTGCGCCTCACACACACACAGAAACATCTGGGTACTGATGTTCAAACACACAAAGGCACTTAAAAAAAAGATGGCTGCGTTTGCCTTGAGATACAATCAGGCTGTCAGCCGTCCGGGGGCAAGGTAATCTTATTTGAGATCAGCGGTTGGAGTGAACATCAAATTAATGAATACCCACCCTGCCCACTTCCACCAGGTTGGTCACCATGACGATCGCCGCCGTGTTCTCCTGCCACACCATCCTCCAAAAGTCAAACACCGTCTCCTGCATGGGGCCTTTAAAAAAACAGAAGAGAGTATTTGTGAGTTAGTAAATTGCACTTACAGTCCTTTTATTACATCATGTGTTGATCCTAGTCCCATTTGATAGTGTCCTTTGCAACAGAAGCCATTTTTTTCTTTTTGGGCTAAATCCAGTTATTCTGTCCTCTTGACCTTTTTAACATCTGAGTTTCTAGATACTCTGTCATGGTGCATTGTATTTGGATTAACTACAGGAGGTTTCTTTAATCTGTCAATACATACATTTTAAGGCTAAAATATTCAGACTCACAGACAGAGCACTTTGCTACCTGAACATTTGAATTTCAATTAAGATTGTTGAAATGTTATTTCGGAGACAACTTTTTTCTATATTTTTAAACATGGCTGAAGGAGTTTGCTCCCATTCAGCCAAAAAAGCAACATAGAAGCAACATTTTATTTAAATATCACTGTAGGTAGGATATGATATTTCAATTAAATGGAACTTAAGGTTGTTGTCCGACTCTTTCAAAAAGGCCCATACCAAACAAAACTAAATAATTTATGAGTGTTGCCACAAATCTTACAATACTAGCTAAAAGTGAAAATTATCCACAGAGCCAGGGAGAACAGTTTATAAACAGTAATACACTGAATTTTCAATCTACACAACTCTCCCTGGATTAATCTTATGATTCGCATCATGTTTAATTTAACGCATTATTCATCACTTCCTTTAAAAAAGACTATTTGTGTATGTATTATTCACTTCACTGATGTTCTTAATGCAGTGGCGACATGTTCACTGTTCACATGTTGCTTCTGTCTTCAGAGGCAGAAACAGAAACAGATCAACTTGCACACAATAAGCACACACAGGGGATTTGAAGGTATTACAGTGCTGCAGCAACAATGCAGTTTACAGAGCATTTCCCCTCCATTTTCCCTTCTTGGATGGGACATTGAAAACCATGTCAAACCAGATTTATTTATAGTGCTTCCAATAACAGATTCATCGCAAAGTGCTTACTCTACAGCGGAGGGTTTAACTACAGATGAAAACAAGTGAGTGTAAATAAATCACACATTTAAAGATGAGGCTAAAGCCTGTGTGTGTGTGTGCGTGTGCGTGTGTGTGTGTGTGTGGCAAAGCTCAAAGTAATTACCACTACACCTCATCTGCTCAACACCAACCTTTCCACTGAACCAGACCCTACCGTGTCTGCTGAACATCAAAATAAATGAGCAGCGAGCCATTGAATGCCTCCAATATTTAAAACTCCACTGAGCAATAATTGTGCATTGATAGGATTTTAATTATTATTCTGGTTAATTAGAATTATTAATATTAGTTTTAATCAAGCACCAAGTGGAGAAAAAAAATTACTTCTGACAAATTAATTAGTGAATGCAAATCTCTGCAGTTGTGCATTCTCCTGCGATGGGCCAAATTACCTGGAGACATGACAAATTATTCAGAGACACACAGAGAGACACGGCACAGACACAAACTCAACTTTCAGTCATCACTGTAATTATTTGGTAAATAAATTAAATAACCTTTAGCCCCTTTGAATCCTGTTAAAAAACAGGTCATGTAAATCAATTGAGTTATTCTTACAGGCTTTTGGCGGACAGCGTTTGGTCAGTCTCCAAGTTTTGATGTAAAATTCAATACTTTTTTAATTGTCATTTAAAGGGCACACAAGTAAATTGTACTAGAACATGTTTACATACTTTAATGTAAAAAAAAACTATTATTTTCCCCATACGGTCTTTCAAAATATTACCGCATCACGTCATTCTGAAAGGCTGAATTTTGATGCCTGTCTCTTTAAGCCCTATCTTAAATATACCCTTTAAAAGAGACACACAAATCTTAGTTTTGATGCATCGAAATGTTGATTAACTTGCATCAGGAAGGTTGCAATCAGAGTTTTTTGGAAAATTAAACATTAGGCTAAATGGAAGCCCTTATGAATAACACAACTTAATGTTGAATATTACTGAAATAAAATGGTTCGTTTACTGCTTGAACGGGACACATGTCCCAATGTCTTCACTTATTCAAACATTGACTGATATATGCGGTTTTCATATAGGTAAGAAGACATTTGCTCTACGGCCCGTCCACACGGCGGCGTGCGTTGAAGCTTCAACGCTTCTGCCCATTCACTTTGAATGGGGTGACGTCACGCTTCGCCGAACTGCATTGTGGGAGTGTCGCTACGCGTTGCTCACGTTGCTCGCTTCAAAAGTTGAGCAATTTTCTACTTTTGAAGCTTCGACGGAAGCGTCAGCCAATCAAATCATATGCCGGTACAAGCTCTAGCCAATCAAACCATGTGCCCTTGTGTCCGGGGCGGGAGATTCATGTGATTGGTTGTTGGTCGAGTTTCAGACACGCCCACCTGCAAGCTTCAACGCACGCCACCGTGTGGACGCTGCGTTACTCTTCTCAAAATTAAGGAGTTAGGGTTATCTTCTAGCTAGTAGTTAAAACTACAACATTATGGCGGATCTCAAACTAGGGATGTTTGTATGTCTATCATGTCCAATTAGCAAATCAAGGTAAAAGCACTCTTAAAACAAGCTTTGTTGCATATAAACAGTATTTAATCTTTTGATCATTCAGTGGAGAAGTTATGAGACACCAGTTGCAGCAGCTCCAGCATCCTTTCCCATTATTGAAGTGTTTGTGTTCCTTATTGGGTTTCGTCTTCTGCAACAACCTAATTTCCCTCAGGGGATCAACAAAGTGCCATCACCATTTTAATGACTCGATTGATCAACCCGTGTTTTGATTTGCTTTCTGTGGTGCCTAAACTGTTTTTTAACGGTCTATCCTCCAACTGTACTCAAGCACAGCCTCATGCAACATAGTTTAAATCAATTTCTGCCAAACTGTGCAGTGAAATTTGAGAGACTTCTTGCAGAATAAAAAGATAAATGACTCCAAATGATCCCCACAATCATGTCTCGGCAGCCAGCCCATTTTCTCTGGAAACATTTAGCAGAGAATAACAGTTGATGTTTTGTTAAATTAAGAATTTAACTTCTGCTCACTTATTTCCATCCCAAATTGGATAGCTCAACATTTTGGAACAAAACTCAATATCTTCCATTTTTATTCCCACATTTCGGCGCTTTGTCTCGATTGTAACAGTAAGACCTCAATCTCCAATTCCAGTCACTACCAGCCTCTCCAATAACTGATTGAACCACCCACTCTGCTTCCTCCTACACTTGTCCCCGAAGGGAGGAAACGCACTGCTGAGAAGTTTGCGAGAGGAAGACTGAGAAGCAGGACAGCTGGTGTGTAGGACTTCAGGAATACAATAACACTTGGCATTGTGTGGCAAATCATCCAATGTGAGGCTCCTGCCAAGCTTTAGCCAGCCAATTTATGTTCCCATTTACATGAATAGATGCGAAATAGGTGAAGAGCAGACGGTAAGTAGTGCTGAACTTGATGACAAGTTAGGAAGCGAGTGAGTTTGGCACCTGATGAATTGCTTTATAAGAAAAAAATGGTCACAAACATAAACAATGGTGACGACAAGAAGGAAATTGATATCTATAAGGCTCATTCTCTACTTTTTCAATCATTAACTTAGAATGACATTAGAACAGACCTTTCCATTCAACTCTAGATAGCATGATAATCAGAGTGGCGGCCATTTGTATGTGTTTGGTACGCATTGAACTACGACAGTTGAAGTGGGGTACTTCCGTAAATCAACTTGCTAAAATTAGCTTACTACTCGCCTACTTAGGTTTTGCGGCAATTGCAAGTACTTTCGTAAAGTGTAGTACAAAGAATAGAGTTGCGTGTTTTGCGCATAATCACCATTTCCTTGCCTCTAGAGGGGAATTAAGGATTGCTGAATTTCATTGCTTTATATTTTCTACTGAATGTGACAAACCTCACAGCCCCACTGACATCTTTTGTCACCATAACAACTAACAACAATTGCCATTTCTACAACGAACACCGACTCAAACAATAGTGATGATCAGAGTGAAATTGGATTTTTCTAAAGGCTCGTTCTTTTGTGTTTCGATGAAAGAAATTGAATGACAGTTCAAATCAGGACAGTATGGTCAGAGTGGCAGCAATTTTTATGTGTACCTTTGCAAAGAACTATGATCATTACATAGGGCTCGAGTTTAGTTAACAAGTAGCTGATTCACTGAGGTTAGGTTTTAAGCAAGGAGAGGCTTTTGTGCACCATCTCCAATGCCTTGCAGCTGAGAGGAATTAAGGATTAAGTCACTTCATATTTCTTCATGTTTCCTATTGAATGTGACACTTTTGGGCTGACATGTCTTCTCACCACAACTAACAGCAATTGCCATTCGTACAACAGGCATGACATTTGCCCTTTTAAGTTTTTCAAGGAAGAAATTGGTTTGAGAGATGACTCGAGGAACTACGCGGCGAGAGCACTGTTTCTACGAGCTGCGTGAAGTCTAGTTGAAGAAGTTTGGAGGAGGCACTTCACAGAGGAAGTACACCAGTAGAAGCTTCACTTCCAGCTGTCAGAGTGCTGCTGCAGCCGACGCTGTGTTTTGGGACCGGGCCTGTTCCTCCTCAGAAGCGATGAGTGTGACAGCTGTAGAAGTCCCCCAGCCAGGTACGCCGCAAAACTCCCGATCAACGTGCGCGCAAACACACTCTCAGACAAACACACAGGCGCTGTGTTCCCTCTTGCCCATTAATATTACATGCAGCAGACTCTGGCATAATGTACACTCACTTATCATTGATTTGCTCTCTCTCTCTTTTCCATCTCCAACCCCCCCGCCCCCGGTGGGCTTTGAGATGTTAACCTGTAAATAATAAAACTTTTGCGATGCTGGTGACATTTGGTGCTTGTGAAGGAGGGGAGGGAAGAGCGGAGAAGACCAGAGGGGGAACGCTTGATGAAATTGAACCCTTCGCCGCATCATGAATATTTTCCACATCACCAGGAGGAAGCAGGGACTTATCGGAGCCGTTTGCACCCCGGCTTCAGTGTAATTCACAGTCTACACCAGGAGGAAGCTCATGTCTGATCGGTATTTAAATGATCCGCAGGACATAAAAATGGACAGAGGCAAGGCGGCAAACTGGGAGGGCTGAGCCGCATGCACGCGTTCAATTTCGCTAAGTAGGTGAGCTGTGGCTGGCGTTGAATTACTCAGAGTCAGTTGTGGTATTCCTCCAGCAAAAAAAAAAATCCCGGGATGAGAGAATGACCTACATAATGGGTAGCGGAGCTGAGGTGATGAGGCTTTTATGGAGTGACAGCTGTTCTACCTGCCGTTGTCACCTTGACGGAGCAAAGGGACTCATCAATAAAACCCAAAGTAATGAGTGTCATTGTAGTTTATAGCATAAGAGAACAGGGACAACGTTACGCCACCCGTCTGCCATATTAAGCACATCCTCAACCACCCCCACAGCCAATTTATGGGTACGATACTTTAGCTTATCCAGCACTATTGGGGGTGTCATCACTTTCTGAGCTACCGCTGGTCCCAATGGGCATGAGTTGAAGTGTCACTCACTGAAAAACTTTACTGGGGAAAGAGAAGAGACTACTTCCTAATTTTTTTTTTCGCCAACTGTGCCAATGCCCAGGTGCTTTTTTCAGGTGGTACAGTATGCAGTTTTTCAGACTGAGAGAGACTCGTCTGTGTGTGTGTGCTTCTATCATCTCTGCTGCTCAGTGTCAGCAGACTGAGCCTTCCTTCCCGTCAGTCTGCTGGAGCCGATGATGAATTATAAAAGCGCCCGCTCTCCCAGAGAATACAGATGCACACACACACACACCATGTGTCATCACTTCAGGGGACATTACATTGACTTACATGCATTTCCTGGAGACTTATCCTAACCATAACATGCCTAACCCTAACCAAGTCTTCACCCTAAAATTAATGATTCCCCTCATGGGGACCTCCAATTTGTCCCCAGTCCCCACATGTGACTGTGTAAACAGATTTAGGTCCCCACAAGTATAGTAATGCTAGGACACACACACANATATTGTAGGGCCATACCTATACAAAACATGCCTCTTTTGCAGCCCTGTTTCCTCTTATTTATTTTTTTCAAGCTAAGGACCCAAGATCTGCGTTTCTCTAACAGGGCTGCAAAAGAGGCATGTTTTGTATAGGTATGGCCCTACAATATATTTCAAATATAGCATGATAGGTCCACCTTAAACTGCAAATATATATTAGATATATGTAAAAGTTTATAGATGTAACAACATAATCCTGTGTTCCTGGAGCAGAGGCTTGACTAGAGAAATGCTACTGTACTAAAGGTCAAGAAAAGGTTTTGGCAGCCTTGAACATCCTGTTTGCTGTCGGATAATGAAAACGTTGCTCCTCGATTTTGTCCATGAAGTGTGTGTTTGTATTCAATCTGACTCTCTATTTGCTGAAGAAGGACCTCTCACATCGTCTGCACACTGTATCTGCTGTTCTCTCCAAACACTGCTCTGCTCTGTGTGTTTAACATGATGACTCTGCTCCTCAGAGAGGGGCTCATGAGATTCGGGAGATCCGACAGTTTCACTTCACGGGCTGGCCAGACCACGGGGTTCCCTATCACGCCACGGGCCTGCTGGGATTCATTAGGAGAGTCAAGTCCAAGACCCTGACCAACGCTGGGCCCATGGTGGTCCACTGCAGGTTGGTGTGCACTGCAAAGACCACTCTGTTTCATACTTTAGGTTATCCTCTGTCTCACCTGTCAGTGTATACATGTTCTCTGTCCTACTAGTTGATGTTACACTCCACAGTTTTTTAAGGCCTCAGATTTTAAACATTAGCAGTTGGGGCCACAAGATAAGCAAAGTATGAAGTAACGTCTGCAGCCTGTGACATTTTTCGACAATATCCTCCCCTTTGTCTCCCCCTTTCAACGCTGCATCTGGAATAAAGGCGCTCCTGCCGTAAAATATCTTAAAACAAAACCAAATCTGTATGTTCTCAGCAATATGGAAGGTAGACCTGTGCATAAATGTAGATCATAGCCAATATGTTGTAAGAAAGTAACACTATTTCCTCCTAACATACTTTGATTGTCAGTCTTCTTGTTTGTCTATTGGCGCACATTAGTTTTCAGTAGTCTCTAGGAAAAAAATAATTGCTGACTTCAAGTACAGGGACAATACTTCAAATATTTTAATTATGTAAAACTGTAGGTTTCCTTAACAAAACAGTGGTTTCTATGGCACCGCTGAAGTGTCCAATGTGTGTTTCCCTGCAGTGCCGGGGCGGGGCGGACCGGCTGCTTCATCGTCATCGACATCATGCTGGACATGGCGGAGAGAGAGGGGGTGGTCGATATCTACAACTGTGTGAGGGAGCTGCGCTCACGGAGGGTCAACATGGTGCAGACTGAGGTACGGTGCATCTGTCCCACTGTGACTCTCCATGAGTGAAAGGAAGAGTGAGGATTCAGAATGGCAGGCTGTTGCCATCAAATGTGGATTAACTAGATTCTGCGAGGATTACTAAACATAAGCTCCTCTGGTGCTCCAGAACAAAAGCAAAGAAAGAAGCTCTTTTGTATTTTTTATTCAGGGGAAATAAATCATTACCTGACATTTATTAGTCAATATATCTGCAGACTAAGTGATCCAATCTGTAGGGACTTTGTTCCAGTTTGCCAGTGACTGATGATGCCCATTATCTTTTAAAATGCAGTATAATTAGTTTTAATTTTTCGCCGTCAGTCATTTTGAAGCGCCAGTTCAAGTGCATTTTTTAGTAGGGATATATTTTATTATATAACAAACTGTCCACATTATAACTGACCTCCATGTGACGTCTGTACACGCTCTCAGTTCTTGTTTTAACCTGTTTTTAAATATAACATGTTTATATTTTGACATGAATTTATAGTTACATTTTTATGATTTCTCACATAAGACATTTATAGAACACACCAACTATTTCCCAGTAGGCTAAACACAAGTGCTTGGCATTACATGCGATAATAAAAAAGGTTTAAATGCTGGTAAATGAGATCATTTAGCTGGTATTGGCGTCTGAAAACACCCCTCCATCTTTATACTAGTGCGGGCTACCCGATGGACTTTGTGCTTTCGTGAACACGGGCCATCTGGAGGTGTCCACAGTCTCGTTGGATGCTCCATTTCACCGTAATTCCCTCTAAATCACAGGCGTCGTTGGACATAATGGGCAAATGCTTCATCGTTGACGTCCGAATTGGGATTTGAGTAACTGGAGACCAAATGTTGTTCACCCTGAGTCACTCTCCTCAAATTCAGTGACCTTCAAAGTGTGTGTGTGTGCGTTTCCCCTCGCAGGTGTTTCGGGCTTGTTGGCACGGCTGTTGAGCCCGCGGCCAGACACTAACCCTCCAACGTGGTTTAATCTGTCCGCGAAAATGAAAAGCCTTGTTGTTGTTTATAGTTTATGAGCTCAGATAGGATCTATCAATCTGTTGATTCCTGTTTGAGGGCCGTGTTGCCGCCGACCCAGCCTGAGCTAGTGAAACACTCGGGTCAGCAGTTCAGGTTCTGCACCCGACTTAACAAATGGCAACACATGTTTCCCCGTAAATCTGTGAATCAGTGACCCCTGTGCAAGTGTGCGGATTTTGGTCCGAAGTGACAAGGGAGTGTCAGCTGGAAATGTCACTTCAGAAGAGATTTGCATCAAGCCTCAAGCTGTGTCATCACGTCCACTGCTTGAGTGACTGATGCGAGGAGGAGGAAATGTGTCGCGATTTCCAGTTTTGCTCTGCAGGAAGTTGGGAAAGCAGGGTGTTTTTCGTATTGTGTGTAAACGTCAGCCTTGTTTTAAGCCTTGACAAAATCATGTGCAAAAACCCGATGAGGTTTTGACCAGACCAAGGTCACCACAGTTTGACGTGGTCCTCAAAAACTGAAAAAGGTCATTGAATTCCTGAAAAAGCCTTCTTCCAGGCCTCTAAGGTTTTTAAAAATGTCATGAAAGTCTGGGTTTTATAACAGAATGAAATCAGCTTTGTACCAAGAATATGCAAAATTATGTAATGTAACCTTTGAACACAGACAATGACAAATATTAGTCATAGAGACTGCCTCAGGGGAAAAGAATAATCATGGTAAGGTCACGGAAAGGTCATTGAATACTTCTGGTGAAAAGGCAGAGGAACAGTCATGCATTTCTGCCACTTCTGTTTGGTAAAAAAAAAACGGTCTCTTTTGCCGTAAGTGTAAGAAGTCTTATAGATCCGCAATGAGGATGCTGTTTTTTGCAGGAGCAGTATGTCTTCATCCACGACGCCATCTTGGAGGCGTGTCTCTGTGGCGACACCACCATCCCTGCCAGTCAGCTGCGCTCCGTCTACTACGACATGAACCGCCTGGACCCCCAGACCAACTCCAGCCCCATTAAAGAGGAGTTCAGGGTGAGGAGATTCACACTCTGTATGCAAATAAAGCAATATCTCAGGAGTAGGACAAGTTCAAAACAACAGTAAACATGTTGTCTCTTGACGAATGGCGCAGACCAATCTGTGCCAATCAGAAGCAGAGATGGCAAAAGTACACACATCCTTTACTCAAGTAGAAGTACAGATACTCGTGTTTAAAAATACTCTGGTGAAAGTAGAAGTACTGACTAAACTTCTTTACTCAAGTAAAAGTAAAGAAGTATGGGCTTTGAAATGTACTTAAATAAACATACATGCATAACTACCAATTGTTTTAAAGAGTACCTGACCTCCCTTTATATTAATAGAACAATAATGTCATTGTTAGCTAATGAATGTTTCCATGGTGACCAACGGCAACATGACAACGTTTTCATTGGTCCCTTTTAGAGAAGACCAGGAAATGATGGATACACGGATCGTGTTCAAATCAATAGGCACGCAATGACTAAATAATAATGATCACGCCACCAAACACACATTCAAACTAAAGGAACCGGCCTGTTTGGGAAATGTAAGAAGTAGAAAGTTCAGGTATTTGTGTTAAAAATGTAAGAAGTAGAAAGTACAGGTATTTGTGTTAAAATGTAAGAAGTAGAAAGTACAGGTATTTGTGTTAAAATGTAAGAAGTAAAAAGTTGTAAAGTACTCCACTACTTCCCACCTCTGTTCAGAAGCAAATATATCACCTTGCTTTAATCTGTAATAGTAGAACCCCTCCTCGGACCAATCAGTGTTATACGAGATGCATCGCCCCCCCTTAAGTTTCATCTCAGTCGCATCAGGGGAGTAAGAGCTATCGCTAATGTAACTGATTAAAGAATTGCATTGTTAATTACCATATTGGGAGATAATTAGCACACCCAAGAACCGAGCGCCTACCTTCCTGCGCCGGTCTGACGGTGTGTGATTCTTCTTCGTCCCTGACAGACTCTGAACATGGTGACGCCCACGCTGCGGGTGGAGGACTGCAGCATCGCCCTGCTGCCCAGGAACCACGAGAAGAACCGCTGCATGGACGTCCTTCCTCCAGACCGCTGCCTCCCCTTCCTCATCACCATCGACGGGGAGAGCTCCAACTACATAAACGCCGCGCTCATGGATGTAAGAGTCGATATTTATTTTATTACCCCTGTCGTGGCTTCCTTCCTTGTCTTTCCATCGAGCCACTAGACGCCTTAAACAGACAGTTCTAACTGGTTTCTTTCCTTTTAAATTACTCACAGTTTGAAGTGTTGCTTGTCGATACTATAAATTGAATATTTCCGTTTTTTTCGACCTGCATTGGTATCCTAAAAGGTCCCTTGTCGAAAAACTTTACTGGAGTTGAGTTGACCGGGGTAATACCCAAAAAAAATGGCGGTGATATAAACAATACTTGTAGAGGTGTACACAATTATTGTTATTTAATTGGAACAAAACATTTACGAACATAAACATCCTTCCACCCCTCCGACCATTCACCCGCCCTTCTTGATAAAGTAATACTGTCTATTAACACAAAGAACAGAACCACTACGGAACAGAGAAATGTAGAGTGCAGATGTTGGACGTCCACAACGTACACTCTTGAAGTTTTTTCGATGCGATTTGACTTCAGTTCCAATTTCGGAGTTCCAATGTCGGTCAACGGAAGATACATATTCTGCGACTTTGTGGCTACAGTCGTGATTGTCATTTTTTTTTTTTGATCGGAATTTTATAGGCACTACCACACCAGGTAATCGCATAGGTTCCCGTTTTATGGCACGAAACTGTAGTGACTTATCGCAAACTGTTCCTTCGTTGTACACCCGGGCACACCCTTGCAAAATCGGAGCGAGTCGACGGGTTAAAGTACGGAACGACTGGCCTCACCAGTTAAATAATTAAATTTTGCAGTGTCCCTAAGTCAATGGTTCTTAAATCTTAACGCCGATGTTACGGAGGAAAATTACTCGAGGCCAACCTCACTTACTTAGATTTTCGCGAATTAGCAAGACCATTTAACGGAATAAGAAATAGTCACTAGGGGTAATAGGGGTGATCGTACTCGTAAACCGATAAGAAGGACGCCCGAAAGAGTGTGTGTGTTTTGGTATTATTTGTTTTGTCAAGTATTAAAGTACGTTAATGTCAAGATACGTTCACTTTTGATTCTTACCGAGTAGGTTAAACTCGGCTAGTATGCATTCCGGTTTGTTTTCTTATGTTTAGTAACAATGAATTATTATGTAATGCCAATGTAAAGTGAATTATTATGACTCTAGTAAAAAAATCGTTGGAAAACTTTTCATGACTCTTAAAAGGACTCTACTATACCCTTGTCCCATTTCTTGAGGTCGGGACTGGTCCGAGACGTGACAAAAGTACCAGGGTATAAACGTAAATTCATAACCCCCCAACAACCTCGGTCATAAAACTAAAATATTCCTTTCCCGGGTGGATTACGACTGCATACGGAATCAGTTGCGGAGTGAATAATTTCCCTGAATGTTAAGGGTGCCGCGGACACGATTTCGGTGTCACTACCCTTTGGACAACTCTGCGGCCAGTCATCCTTGTCAAAAATTGGCATGTGCCATGTATTTTAACATATTCAATGCGGAAAATTCAATCCCTTCTAATATTCGTATAGTTTTTTTCTTCTTATGGATTCAACAAACAATAAAAATAAACTCAAAACGGATAAAGAAAAGCTTATAACGGATTTCCGGATAAAAGAGGAACAACATACCACGTTTTCAAGAACAATAAAATAAAACTCGTTTGTGTAGCGGTTGTACTAGATTT